GTTAATCACTCCATGACAGTGATTTTCAACCAGTGTGTCATGTCACATAGGTGTGCCTTGAGAGGATCTTGGGTGCCAGGAACATTTTTAAAGATCACTAAGTAAATTATTTTCAAAAGAAGTTCAAACCACAGTAAGTATGTATATATATTTTATTTTATTATTTTTTTTTTTTTTGCAGTTTTTGGCTGGGGCTGGGTTTGAACCGGCCACCTCTGGCATATTGGGCCAGCGCCCTACTCCTTTGAGCCACAGGCACCCTCAAAAACATGATTTTTTTATAGACAAAATATCTGCAGTTCGTAGAAGGAGGTCAGTTGGGTGGATTTAAACTCTAATGACTGTGCTTTGTTTTTTACACTGAAGGTCTATTTTAGCTTCTTACCTTCTTAAGGAAAAGCTCAACATCTTGGGCAAGCTGGGGTGTCTGCTGAGCTGTGCAGGCTCCGTGGTGCTCATTATCCACTCCCCGAAGTCGGAGAGTGTGACGACGCAGGCAGAGCTGGAAGAGAAGCTGACCAATCCAGGTGAGTGCGGGGAGCCCCGGTCCTGCATCCGGGCCTCTGCCCTGACACCTGCTAGCAGCTCTGGCAAACCTGTGTGTGCCTGGCCCAGGCCCCCAGCCCTGTGGACCTTCACTCCCTGCCCATCCAGCCTCCCTCCCCATGGACTCCTTCCTGCTGCCCTTCTACCCACTTGGACACCTCTGCCTTCCCACGGACTGCTATGGCATCATCATAGCTCACAGCAACCTTCAACTCTTGGGCTTAAGCAATCCTCTTGCCTCAGTTTTTCTGTTTTAAGTAAATACCTAGTCTCGCTCTTGCTCTGGCTGGTCTCAAACTCATGAGATCAAGGGAGCCACCTGCCTTGGCCTCCTAAAGTGTTAGGATTACAGGCATGAGCCTCCGTACCCAGCCAGGAAAGAAATTTTTGTTTTTAACGTGAAAAACTTTTTTTAAAACCTGGCATATAAAATAATACTATTGTGGCCACTCAATTTATTCATTTTCCTTATTTTTTCTTTCTGTAGGTAAAAACAACGGAATGAATTTTTGTGAAATAATTGCTTCAGAGGAAATTTTAAATCCGTACTTGTGGCTCGGTGCTTGTGGCTAGGGCGCCAGCCATATACACCTAAGGTGGTGGGTTCGAATCCAGCCAGGCCTGCCAAACAACAATGACGGCTGCAACCAAAAAAAAAAAAATAGCCGGGCGTTGTGGCAGTCGCCTGTAGTCCCAGCTACTTGGGAGGCTGAGGCAGGAGACTCGCTTGAGCCCAGGAGTTGGAGGTTGCTGTGAGCTGTGATGCCATGGCACTCTACCCAGGGGGGATAGCTTGAGGCTCTGTCTCAAAAAAAAAAAAAAATCCGTACTTGTTTATACATCTCTGAAATGGCTGAATCATATGTGATCCATGATATTCAAAGAGAGGAAGGCAAGGGAACATTGAGGAAAGCTCTCTAAAGGCACGTGTTCTTTCAGGATCACCCCTAGAGAGCAAAAACAGTCCTGGGGGGAGAAAAATCTCATACTTTTTTTTAAGAGACAGTGTTGCCCTCCGTCACCCAGGCTGGAGAGCAGTCGCAAAATCATAGTTCACTGGAGCCTCCTGAGCAGCTGAGACTACAGGGAAATGCCATTACACCCAGCTAATTCTTCTTATTTATTTTTTTCAGATTAACATAAGGATACATACACTGTTTGCATTTGTTAGGTAAAGTCTGAATTGTAGTTGAGTCCCTCACCCAGGAGGTGTGCCCTGTGCCCTCCATTGTACCACATTAGGTGTGAGATCTAATCCCCCTCTCCCCACCCTTCTTGAATGTAGCTGTGCTTCTCTTGTGTGGACCTGTGGTTGTTCATCTACTAATTTCATGTTAGTATTGAGTAGGGGAGATTTATTTTGGTAGAGACTGGGTTTCACTATGTTGCCCAGCCTGGTCTCCAATGATCCTTCTGCCCCAGCTTTCTAAAGGGCTGGGGTTGGGCAGTGCCTGTGCCTCAAAGGAGTAGGGCGCCCGCCCCATATGCTGGGGTGGCGGGTTCAAACCCAGCCCCACCCAAAAACTGCAAAAAAAAAAAAAAGTCCAAGTAAAGTGCTGGGATTACAGGTGTGAGCCACCAGGGCCACCTCCTCACGTTCTTCTAATGTATAAAGCATAGATGTAGATGCAGGATGTAAACAGATATTCATATATCAGTGATGTTAAAATTTCACAGGGGGCAGAGTGAGCCCTGATGGTGCCGCTGCACTGTAGCCAAGGTAACCTAGCAAGACCCTGTCTCAAAAAAAAAAAAAAACTAAAAAATTCCTGGGATGAGCGATTAGAGTGAAAAGTGTCAAATGGTTCTTTGGGGGAGTGATAATGAAATAAAATTTAAAGGCTGATATAAGGTAACAGCCACAAAACTGAAGAGCACCTGGCTCCCTGCTCAAAAGGCAACTGAGAATTCAAGGTTGAGCACGTGAAAATAGCGAGGTTTTCTTGGATGTGGGTTTGTCTTTCCAAGCTGCCCGGTTCTCAGGTGCGGCTACTGAGGCACGTCTGAGCAGCCTTATGGCTGGCGTGCCCACTCCTGCCCCTCTCTCCCCACAGGCCACTGCCCACCCCTTAACTCCTGCCCGTTGGCACTGCCGCCCTGGGGTGACACTTCTTGTTATTTCCCCTGCCCCCACCCATCCCCGTCCCAGCCATCTTGATGCCTGGGCCCTTCTGAAACCTAATCAAATTATTTCCCTTCTGGGCCTCAACGTTCCCTGCCCGGCCCCTGAGAGAGGCCTGGGCTGCTCCACACACAGCCCCCTGCTCATCCTGACCCTCCTGCACAGTCCCATTCAGAGCACCTCTGCTTCCTGCCACGGCCCAGACACCCTCACACGCGTGGATCTCCCTGCTTTCCATTGCCCCCCCCCCCTGCAGTTTGTAGGTCAGGCTCCTGGTAGCTCTCCCCTGACTTTCCAGGGTCACTTTCCTGTAGTGTCTCCCAAACCCGCTCTAAGAGCAGGGCGCCCTAGATGCTTTTTCTCACCTCTGGAGAGTAGTCCCTGCTGTCTGATCCACATGGCAGTTTGTGTGACCGCACTTGCTTTGCTGGTCTGCCTGTCCTTACCCGCTGGTTTGCCGGGCAGGTCCATTTTCGATCTAGGAATGGAATTCACAGAGAATACAACCTCCTTGTATAATTTTATAATCTCAAAGCCATCAATATAATTAGCCCTAACTGTTACATAAAGGAGAAATAGCAGGACAGTGTTTTACAATAAAATACGGATTGCACTGTGAAAATGCTCAAGTGCGACTCTGAGAGACCCCACACCCTGTGCAAAGCTGCTGGGAATCTGCCAGCTGCAAACAGACTGAGAGGGGGGTGTTGTGTCCTAACCCCAATGCCCAGGAAGTCTCACCATCAACAACACAGTCCTCTGAGAGGGAGAGTAACTCTTTTTTTTTTTTTCATTTTTACCAGCTTTATTGAACTATAATTCATATGTGATACAATTCATCCACTTAAAGTATACAATTCAATGAGTACTTTTTTTAGTATGTTCATAGAATTGTGCAACTATCAGATTTAGAACATTTCATCACCTAAGAAAGACCCTGTGCCCATTAGGATCCACTTCCACTACCCACCCCCAACTCCCCAGCCCTACACAACCAGTAGTCTACTTTTCTGTCTTTCTGGATGTGTCTATTTTAAACATTTCACATCAATGAATATGAATGAGTGGATATAATATGTGGTCTTTTTTTTTTTTTAATTGTTGAAGGTATAAGAAACCAGGCTACACTGATTGCATTTGTTAGGTACAGTCCCTCTTACAATTAAGTCTTGCCCCCAGGAGGTGTGTCACACACTGAGACCCCACCGCCCTCCTTCTTACCCTCCCTTTGCTCTCCCCTTCCCCCACCCCCACCATGTACTAGGTCATTAATTGTCCTCATATCAAAATTGAATACATAGGATTCTCCATTCTTGTGATGCTTTACTAAGAAAAATGTGTTCCACTTCCATCTATGTTAATACAAAGGCTGTAAAGTCTCCATTTTTTTAATGGCTGAATAGTATTCCATGGTATACCTCTACCACAGCTTGTTAATCCATTCCTGGGTTAGGGTACATTTAGGCTGTTTCCACATTTTGGCAATTGTAAATTGAGCTGCGATAAACAGTCTAGTGCAAGTGTCCTTATGATAAAAGGATTTTTTCCCTTCTGGGTAGATGCCCAGTAATGGGATTGCAGGATCAAGTGGGGGGTCTAGCTTGAGTTCTTTGAAGTTTCTCCATACTTCCTTCCAAAGAGATTATATTATTTTGCAGGCCCACCAGCAGTGTAACAGTGTTCCTTTCTCTCCACATCCACACCAGCATCTACAGTTTTGAGATTTTGTGATGTAGGCATTTCTCTCTGGTGTTAAATGCTATCTCAGGGTGGTTTTGATTTGCATTTCTCTAATAATTAGGGATCATGAGCATTTTTTCATGTGTTTGTTAGCCATTCATCTGTCTTCTTTAGAGAAGGTTCTATTCATCTCTCTTCCCCATTGGGGAACAATGGGATTGTTGACTTTGTCATGTGTATTAATTTGAGTTCTCTATAGATCCTAGTTATCAAGCTTTGGTCTGATTCAAAATATGCAAATATCCTTTCCCATTGTAGGTTGTCGGTTTGCTTTGGTGGTTGTCTCCTTAGCTGTACAGAAGCTTTTCAATGTAATTAAGTCCCACTTGTTTATTTTTGCTGTTGCAATTGCCACGACAGCCTTCTTCATAAAGTCTTTCCCCAGGCCAATATCTTCCAGTGTTTTTCTTATCCTTTCTTTGCAGATTTTCTTCATTTCATGCCTTACATTTAAGTCCTTTTTCCATCTTGAATCAATTTTTGTGAGAGGAGAAAGGTGTGGGTCCAGTTTCAGTCTTTTACACATGGATATCCACTTCTACCCACATCATTTATGGAATAGGGAGTCTTTCCCCCAGTGAATGTTCTTGTTTGGTTTATTAAAGGTTAGGTGGTTGTAGGATGTTAGTTTCATCTCCTGGTTTTCTATTTGATTCCAAATGTCTGTGTCTCTATTTTTGTGCCAGTACCATGCTGTCTTGACACTGTGGCCTTGTAGTACAGCCTTAAATGTGGTATGGTGATGCCCCTGGCTACGTTTTTATTTTTAATAATTGCCTTAGCTATATGGGTTTTTTTCTGGTTCCATACAAAATGCAGAATCATATTTTTCAAGTCTTGAAAGTACAATGTTGGTAATTTAATAGGGATGGCATTGAATCGGTAGATTGCTTTGGGAAGTATAGACATTTTAGCAATGTTGATTCTTCCCAGCCATGAGCATGGTATGTTCTTCCATTTGTTAATATCCTCTGCTATTTCCTTTCTTAGGGTTTTATAATTTTGCTTATAGAGGTCCTTCACCTCCTTTGTTAGGTATATTCTTAGGTATTTCATTTTCTTTGAAGCTATGGCAATGTGTCTTTCATTAGCCTCTCATCTTGGCTGTTGTTGGCATAT